AACATATTATTAATATATTTGGTTGATCAAAGTTATCCACCGTGTGATGTCTCTAGTTATAGATTATCATTCCATAACAAACTCCGATATTATTGTTCCATAACTGCGATATTAATTAATATATTAATTATTAATATATTTTGTTGATCATGGTTATCCCTCGCGTGATATTAATCTCTCGTAACTGCAATATGAACATGTGTTCCATAACAAACTGCGATATTATTGTTCCATAAGTGCGATATTAATATTATGACAACGGTCGAATGTATTTTGTTTTGAATAAACTAATTGAAACCATATGTTTCGGTGTGTTTTCGAGATTTCTATATATAGTATGTCAAATGTCTTATTTATTTGGTCAGTAATTTTTAAAAAGGTATTTTAACAACAACTTTTATATATATATATAGATATAGATTTGCCTTATTTTATTTAATTCTCAATTGTGAGATAAATTGCTCGTCTTATTTGTCTAGTTGATAGAAATTGTTATGTGGCTAAAATATGTGATTATTATATATTTGTATATTAATTATGTGTTATAAATATTTATTTATTTGATTAGAATTAAATTGTTTCGACGATTTTTCGATTTAATCGCGTAAACCGATTTTAATCCGTTTCGAACCGTTTTCGAGCCATTTAAATCCGAACCTTAAGTTTGTTCATCTGGTCCAATTGAGTTCCATTTTTGGCCTTGCAAGCTATTAAATGCTTCAGCCCGTTTTAACTTCTAGACCAAATGAAGTTTTAATTTTTCAAACCATTTTTGATTTAGTCACGCAACAGATTTGGGATTTCCTTGAAATCGCCCCACAGATCATCTCTCGACATCAAATCGCCCATCTAATTTCCTCATCTCTTTCGAAAAATCAACCATCGCCGGCGACCCAGCCCTCCGACGAGCCTCCTCTATCTGCGAGCGACCACACCAAGTCGGAAGGGAGCCGTTTCGAGCAGCCACAGCCGCAACGAACATCCAATCGCGAATCGCCGCCGTGTACGAGCCCTACTCCCGCCGGCGTCGCCAAGCAACTCCGGCAACCTCGTCGCGAGCAGCAGCGAGTAACCCGTCGCCGTGAGCGACCGCTGACGTCAGCCCCGACGCGAAGCCCGACTCCATCTCCGGCGACCTTCTATCCCTGTCCGACGACTCGTATTCACCATGTTCTGTCCATTCCCGACGGACCCGACCAGAAGCAGCGACCTTCCGGCGATCCTCCATAGCCGCGCCACTCCTTCCGGCGAGCAACAGCGATCCCGTCCGATCAAGTCGTGGTCATCTCGCCATCGCCACATAACAACACGCGAGTCTGGAGTTCCTAGCAGTCGAGCCCGGCTCGAATTTTCAGACCCCGTCGTTCCCCTTTAACCTCTGGACGTTGAGTTCCTTCATCTGCGCGACGGCAAACCAACCCCTTTGTCGTGAGACCTCGCCGGCGACCTTTGTCCCACAGCAGTCCTCCTTCGCATTCTCCGAGAAGTAGGCCCGTAAATTCTTTTCAGCAAGCCGCAACAGCTCCTTGCCGGCTTGTTTTTGAGCAGCTCGTAAGTGGGAGAGGGAGCCCGAAACAGCCGCGGCAGCCTTTCAGGCCCGTGCGGGAAGAGCAGAGCAGCGGTACCGACGGTCGTCCTCGGCACCCGACCTTGTCCTACGAGCCGCAGCCCCTATCCGCGGCTGAAGGAGACCCTCGGAGTCGAGAGGTAATTGGCTTAGCCTCTTATACCTGTTTTTGGGCCGAGAGTTTATGGTGTTCTGTACTTAAATTTTCAATGAATAAGCATGCTTGAGTATCAGATGAGATGCCTGTTAAGTGTTAGCAATTTTTGATAAGAGGAGCATGTATATGGGATTAATTTTCCTTGATTGTTTGATGCTTGGAGGCTGCTGCTATATTCATACTATGTGCAAAAATTTATGTTTTGGTTTGACTGGAATAATATCCTATTCGATATGATGTTCTGATGCCTCAGTTTTGTTGAGTTTTACCTACTATAATGTGAGCTATTTTTTTTTTTTTTAATTTATCTACTGAGGTTGTGTGGTGCTGTGAACTTGTTAATTTGGGAGCTTGAGATTATTTATTTGTTTGGTGTTAGTGTATATTTAAATTTGGTATAAATTGTTGGGTAAGAGTTTGTGGAAAAAGAAGAAGAAATGAGACTTGCTTCATATGCTCGTTAGTCGAGTTGATACGTGATTCTTATGCTGAACATTATGAGATTATTTTTATGCTGAAATAAAGAATCTTTAGTGCCTTTAATATCAGTGATAAAGCCCGTGGTATGTAAGTATCTGATTGAGAAAAAGAAAGTTCATTTATATATGTGTGCATGCTTTTAGGTTGAAGAATTTTTGAACCATGTGTTTCCATGTTAACTGAGCTCTATTGAATTGTTGGATATGCTGAATTGAGCAAAAATTATAGAACATTAATCTCAGTTATTATGGCCCTTGATTTTTGTTGACCAAGCATGAGAAACAGGTTGTGTTGTTGATGCCTTTTATTTTGGTGTTATTTTTCTTTAGCCGTGTAAGTGGTTAAATTGTTTGCAGTTTTTGGTTACTTTAATATGTTGGCAGGAGAGTAATTGCATAACCTTATGTTCAGTTTTAAGGCCTCATGTGAATGACTTAAGTGTTAAGAAAACAGAGACATATTATGTGTGTTATGCCATGCTTATTGTTTTGCTTTTCTGAGCCTTTATTGTGGAGTTTTCCAAGTTGAAAATATGTTATATTTCAGAAATTTATGCTCAGTTCATAAGGCCGTGAAATTCTGTTGTAGTTTAAAGAGTTGTTTGCCTTGTTTGTGCTTATCTGCCTTAATAAGTTGCTTTGTGTGTTTTATCAGTTTGTTAATCAAACCCTTAGTAATTAAAGCCTAATTTGTAGATTAAGAGGAGTCGAGCTCTCGTCCTTGTTTGTGCGTGCATTCCTCGACAGTATCAGGTGGGTTGTTATTCTAAAATTGGTCATGTTGTAAATGTTATTACTGATTTAATTATGGTATGATCAATGTATGCATGTGAACCATGTAGCCTTCGATGTGAGTTGTACCGGCCGTCGAACGGTTATCCCCGTAGCTATAAAACGTACCCGTAGGGTAGTCTCCTTTTTTAGCCATAAGACTGGGGTTAAAGGTCCCTGTGCTGAACAACCCCGTTGGTAAGACCAATGTGAGGCCTTGGCCGGCGGGTTACTCCTACTGACTGGGCATCGATAGAAGTCCATGGGGCATTCGATGTGTAAGACCGGAGGGCATAGACGTAGTGTCATAAGGCCTAAGCAGGCATACGATTCGATAGAAGCCCGAGGGGCATTCGATACGTCTACCAGCAGTAGTCTATTGGTATAGGTGTGCACATGAGTCTATTATTGATAGAATTGATAGGAGATTGGGATATTGATTGTTTCGTATACATGCTGCGACCATATTTGTGTTATGAATATTGTCGGTATATGTTGAATAATGTTTACTGCATAGTGGTGAGCACTACTTTTTCCAACTGTGCTCATCCCCACCTGAAATTCACGTTTCAGGTTAAGCGAGGCAGGTATGACGACGGAGTAGAGCAAGTGGTGGTCAGTCTATAAAACCGGTCCTATTATTTGTTATGCTTCCGCATTATTGAAAAGGGGATTTTAAGATTATGAACATGGAGTATTAGTGCATTTAAGATTTTCGGATTTTATTACTGAATAAAGTTAAGGAGATGCTCCTTAGAATTTACGAATATGGTTGGAACCCGGTTTGGGAGATGATTTATGAATTTTTGGAAAACCCGTTTTGGGAGTTAGTGATATTGTTGATGATTGATGATTGAGTATTGAGAAATTGGTTAAGTATGAAAGTTTGTTTTAAAAATGAGTAGCGCCTCAGGTGTTTTAAAATAAATTTGAAAATTTTATTCTGATTTTGGGCAAATAAAAGTGGGGCGTTACAGCTGTATAAAGTTTAAGTGTGCAAAATCATATAAAAATGTCTATTTAAAATTAGTACACAACTCATGCGTTGCACGTAACTGAAAATAAATTGCATTATATTCGTTTCAAAATATGTGTAATTTTAAAATTTTTTATTCAAAAATTCGATTTGACCATAATGTGACTCTATAAAATAATTATTTTGGTAAAATTTTATCATATATTTAAAACTTATGTGAATAATAAGTATAAATATAAAACTTATATTGTTTCATTAATTAAAATAAATCTATTTTTGTATAAAATATCCAAATAAAAAAATTAAGTAGTTGAGTAAAAACACCCCGTCATAAGATTTTTTATGCCAAAAAAATCGACACTTTTTCACAAAAAAAAAAAAAAAAAATATTTGAAATGTCGTAACAAAAAATGAATTAAATCGAATCCCACTAAGTACACAAAAAAAAATGACCATAATTTTTTCTATAAAAATATTCATCGATACACGCACATTATATCAAAATATCAGTTCATATTATTTTGTCAGAGTTACGGTAATTTTTTTATGTTAATTTCATACAAAAAATTAAAATAAAAATTGAAACTCACGCCTAAAAACCAATATATTGGTCTGCGCATTACAGAAAAAAATACACCGTATATTGATTAATTTTTCAATAAATTTGAAATTTTCTACCAAAAAACAGTTATCAAATAACCTAAATAAGCTTGCTCGCTTTACACCATATATTGATAAATTTATTTCCTATAGAAATAACCATCAATACCAAAAATATATTGGCCCATTTTATATCGTATATTAATTAATTCACATGATTTGAGCAATTAAGGTATCTTAAAATATGACTTAATTACTTCTAAACATTTTATACCATATATTAATTAACTCACATGATTTGAATAATCAAGCTATCTTAAAATATGGCATAATTACTTTCTTAAATAATGAGTCGCAATTTCCATAAGTGATCATTTGAAATATACCATAAATTGTTAAATTAATTTCCCGAAATAATAAATAGACTTTTTTTGGAGGAAAATAGTTACTATTTAAAAAATAATCAAACCTTTTGATATAGATACACTATTTGTCATATCAAGTTTGAATTGGTCGTTTCGGCATAAAACCATATTTTTCAATTTTAGTTGGCTAAAAACTCGAAGAACTGAACGTTTGTCTGTCTACTATAAAAGCATCAACAATTAGGCATAGATTTGTTACAAGTTGCAGTTTATGCTAGATGTTAGAGCAACAAAGCAGAAACATATTCTCATATCAATTCAATAGAAAAATGAATGTTACGAAAAGCTGAAGAGGAAGGACCAGTCAGAATCTTTTACATATAAATTAGATTGAGATCAGTAATTTGTCATGAAGATAACTTGAGGCAGTTATCACAAGGACTGGAACCATTTTTGCAGGCAACTTGATCAAAGGATTCTCCAAAGTGTTCGAGTAGAGCTTGCCTACGGCATTTGTCCTGCAAGAGTTAATTTTGTTTCCCCTTTTAAAAGAAAGTTCCGCATTTTACATAAATGCCTAAGGTGTTAGATGGCGATTTACATATTAGCAAACATGCGTGTACTCAATAAGGTTTTGGCGTTGTACCTTAAGTTCACAGTACTCTTGCATTTTCCGAGCTTGGTCCATGGCTAACTTGAAGCTTTCCCTTTTACCTGCTTGCCCACTCCTAAGCATGCATACCACTCGACTGAAATCCTTTTTCTGGTACAGAAGAATGCATGTGGCGGGCAGATTATCACGTCCAGCCCTGCCCGATTCCTGATAGTAGCTCTCAATTGATTTGGACATGGTGTTGTGAATAACAAAACGCTGAAGAATGGAGAAAAAAAGTAAATGTCACAGGAGGATGAGAAATTTACTCAACACCCAAAAACAAGACACAAACTTGATTACTCTGAGATGTCATGGCAGGTATTTGAGCAAATCATCACTAGGAAAGGTGATAAAAATACTGCCTTACAGTTAGTTGAAAAATAACATGCATGATCCTTTTGGTTTGCATGGACTCACAAGCTTGAATTGCTGAAGCAAATTCAAATATGTCAATCGAAATGGAAGATGCAGATAATTTCAGATTGAGATGCACTCACCACAGATCTTGACCCGTCAAATGGGTCCCCTATACGTCAATCTTAATGTTCAAAATTCAAGGAAATTTCAGAAATTAGATCATTCTAGAGAAACTCGAAAGTAATTGAACAAAAAAATAGTGAAAATTTTAAAAACCATATAAGGGAAACCCTAAAGAAACCAAGAAACCCGGAAAACACTAAGAAAAACAAAAGCCACACATTGAAATAAGTCGAGAACTGAAACCAAAATCTGGGATCCATTTATTGTCAAATGGCCTCACACAAATACTTGTGTATTTTAGATAAGAATAACTCACAACGTCCGGTTTGTCGATTCCCATCCCAAAAGCTATGGTGGCACAAACCACGCTGGCTTCCCCACTATGCCATTTCCTCTGAACAGCTACCCTCTGACGAGCAGCCAAACCAGCATGGTAATATACGGCTTTGATCTTGAATTTCTCGTTAAGAAACTTTGAGACCTCCACACATTCGTTTTTTGAGAGGCAGTACACAATTCCGCATAAATTCTTGTAATGGTCCATCAGTAGTTTCCCGAGCTGAAGGAGAGGTTCTTTAGTTTTACTTATTACCTCGTATTTAAGGTTGGGCCTATCGAAACTTGTCTCGAGAACCATTGCACGGGGGATTCTCAAGGAATTTAAGATATCCTGCAGGTATAAATTGCCGGTGAATATCTCTAAAAGAAAATTCTGCAGTTGCTTCCGGATATACATATACCCCAAGATCCAGAAGCCTAACCTTACGAACTGTCTCAGTTGCAGTGGCAGTTAAAGCCATGAGAGGAACACGTGGGAAATTCTGCTTAAGACATCCTAGTACTCTATAATCGGGACGAAAGTCGTGCCCCCACTGGCTGAAAAATGGATAAGTCAGGTTATTAGTCCTACCAACAACAAAATTACATCACACTTTTTTAGTTTCATTTCCTTATCATTTTTCCCCTACTAAGACCAATTTAACTTTATCCAGTTTATCTCTATTTTCATTTATCTACATAAAATTTCACAGAAAAGTACACCTCAGACAGTGGGCTTCATCAACAACAAATCCTGCCAATTGTCCCTGAAATAGGATACAGCAACAACAATTTGTTACATTCATCATCAACAAGAAAGTACCATGGAGGTGTGGATTTGAAAGTGCACCAAGCATAAAATTTTGTAGCCGTTTGACAGCATAAAAGAAGTAGACCTTCATGTGCAGACATTTTAGGACCTCTTGAAATGAAAGGTTTCCAGCAATCCTTTCTGGAGTCACATATAGAAGCTTGCATGAAGGCTTATCTTTCCTAGAAACATCCAAACAAGTGAAATGCTCGAGCATGGAACATCATGAGCAACTGAAAAATATTTGAAAAAATCCAAATTTGTAGCATTCTTTTTATTTTTTTGGAAATGCCCCAATTTTTTGTAATATAATTTTGTGCCAATCTTTTAAACAATTGATTATAATAATTTTATTAATAGATTGATAATATTTTTCAGGTGTGCTCAGTGTCAACTCATAGCTATCCAATAAATCATATCAATGGATCTATCAGATAAGTAATGTGGTACCCAATAGTTTATACTTAACTGCGTTATAAAATAGCTGAAACTATTAGAAATTTACATGTAAGAAATTTGCATTTAAGAAATTTACGTTTATTCTCGAGTCATAACTCATAAGCATGAACTAGAGCAAATGAAAAATATATTTCGTTAAACTACTTAATATTTAGATACTTTGGCCGTAGAGATTTCTCAAATATATAAATAAAGTTCAGTACGGAGAACAACACGTGGTAACACACCAGAACATGAACTCTAACATTTTCCAACTTATACCAGGCAGGATTATGAAAATAAATATTATGATGCACTTTCTGAAGATGTTTCCAAGAACAAGGGATGAGAGAAAGATGATAGCCTACACTATCGATGTAATATACATATACTGATATAACCAGCAATGTAACACCAAAAACTAAAATATTATGCACAAGTGATTTCTGGTACACCATGAGGGTTTAAAGAAGAAATAAAATATGTTGCCTTTGACCATAGTGGCCAACTTGAGGCGTATGACATAAGAGATAAAGAGGGAGTTGGAAAAGATGTAGCGAACATCTATCAGTATATATAAAGTCCACTGAAACTTACCTCAGTTCTTGAAGAACGGCTGCAGCTTGTGAGGACTTCTGTTGAGAGTTTAAGAAAGTCGCAGCTATTCCAAATTTGAGATTCAATGTAACAATCTGATCTTGAATGAGGGAAAGGAGTGGAGATATGACAATCGTAACACCTTGTCGTAAAATGGCTGGTAGCTGTACACATTGGACAAGAAGAAAAAAATAAAGAAAATATTATGTAGCCTGTCACCTAACTAATCTGTCCCTGGTGGGAGTCATAACTTCAATTATTTTAAACCGAAAAACTAGTTTATTTATAAAATGTCCTAAAATTAGCATTGGCAAGATAGTCTATTTAAAGATTAGAATGCCGCAATGGTTGCACAATGCACAACATTTTATTTGAAGAATTGGGTGGGTAATGATTAGAATGGAGTAAATCTTTAAAAATGATTCGATAGATCAAACCCTAAATGATTGCAAATTTGTGACAAGAAAACTCGAGCTATCATTCATACATAATTCTCTGAATCCCGTAAATGAGATTACATCACTACTTTTGTTAAGAAATCACCTATCAATTTGAAATAATTCAAACATGGAGCCTGATCATAGAAAAGACCCACAGTATCTTAATGGTATGGTATTCAAGTTTCTATTTCATTATACCCAAAAAAGGACAGCCAGGTTTTACAGGCAAGAAAAAGCTAAATGGTCCAACAGCTGTTGAAATGAGACAAATCCCCAGCATGAAAACGATGAACTATGAAGAACTTCATCTAAAATGACTTCTATTTCTGATAAAGTAAATCTGACTACATCAAACACCATTAGTAAACCATATTCTGTGATATTTCAGTAGCACACAGAAAATAGGTTTCATGATGATGTGTAGTTAACTAATTTGAACCTCCATATCTAATGGGCACATATATTAGTAAGACTTGCAGAATGGACAAGCATAAGATAAAAATATTATATTGGTGACGTGGCTCCATCACTATCTGGGGAACATATTAAAGAAAAGATAAAGGTCGACTCGATCAGTGTGAATCTGACCTGGTAGCAAAGACTTTTACCCCCTCCAGTGGGCATTAGAACAAAACAGTCATGGTTATCAAGAAATGCTTTACAAGTCCGATACTGCAATGGCCTAAAACCTCTATTACCAAATACAACGACATTTGCCAATTCAATATCGTCCAGTTTCTGCAGCTCTGTGTACGTGAGAGTTCCCTGAGCATTTCCATACTGTTCTTGGGTAACTGATGAACGTGAACAATCAGTTGGATCAACGGTGTGCTCCTTCAAAAGAACTTCACATTAGTAACCAAAAAGTGGAGAAAGATTCGACGAAATCATTCATTCTCTTTCTTTGAGTAGAGAAAAGGTGGATGAGGGGTGTGAGGCAGCTACGATGCATGTTAATCATATCCATCAGCATGCCTAAGGAAGTGCACACTTTTAGCCTAGTCATGAACTGTCTTAAGGAATATTAGAAATTACACCATATGTCCCACTGATGACTATTAGCCTAGTTTTCATGAGACGGAGGATAATATCTAATACTCCTAAATGCAGTTTATGACTAGGGAGTATAAATTTTATCCATATGTAGTTTCAGATGTTATGGACACAGAAACAATAAGCATGAAGCATTTTCACTACCAATATAAAACTTGGCCATTCATTGTTATAGTTGGTGATTGATTAGGGAGAATAATTCCTTACAAAAATTGATGGAAGTTCAATAGAACTTGGAGAAGGACAGAACTGTTTCCATCTATCTTCTATAGGAACATTTGTTGAAGGTCTCAGAAGTTTTAGAAGTATTGGCCTACCTCTTCATCGTCGGTTGACGAATCCAATTGCATGATATTTTGATGCTTCTGAGGTTTAAGAGATTCATTAATACGGCTATGTCTTTGTGTATCCTTGAAAGAATAATTCTTAGATAGATCCTCATCCAGTATCTCAGACAAAGCACCACAAGCTTCTGATTCCATGGCTTGGACATCATCCCAATCCTCAGTGTCCGGTGCAAACTCAGCAAGCGATGCCAGAAAGTCATCACCGCAGTGCTCCACAGTGATGAAATCTCGTCCATCATCACCTTAACAAGAGGAAAATGACGATGATAATGATATATTATCCAGGATAACAAGGAAGCACTTGAATTCAACTTAACTTTCAACGAACAACTTTGAAATCAAGCCATCAGGCAAATAAATTGTTGAGTATATGAAGGGTAAAAGGTATATCTGTGAACAATGGCTTTTTCGAGGACAGTTCTGTGACCCTATACTGTAAAGCTAGTATATGCATCATCTAAATCTTGCATAAACTCAGTATTATTGGACTTCACAGTTCTAATCTAGACACTTTACCTTTTTCTTAGATTTTCTGTGCACCTATCAAAGATGTTGCAATATCCAACATATAAAGAACTGTACATTTTTCACTGAACTGTCATTCTCGATCCAAATTAAGTCGCAATAGGCATTTATGTTCAAGTCCTTTTGAAAATAATAATAATTAAGAAACTTGAAACATTATTCTCCTTCATTGAGCACTCATTAGATTTGCTATAAAACCAGCCAACAAATCATTTTCAGAATCTGTAGCAGTGACATGTGAATCCTGTAAGTTATTTGAGTGACATGATAAATCAAGATTTATAGACAACTGCACTTGGCTATGTAAAATCCTGAAAGGTGTTTAACTCATGTATATCCCCTAAATATACCTGAAAATACTTTATGTATGAGAAGGATTTAATGCTTGTAACAGAAATTTGACACTAGAGAAAAATAATTATTTCTCTTACGAAAACTTTCTCTACATCTTCGAAAACGTCTCCCAAGCAATCTTGACGCGATATGCTGAATCTGCATATGTGTTGCCTACTTTTAACTCAACGCATAAGATTTACCCTTTCATTGCCAAGCGGTTGAGCAGTCATTTGTTTTATATGCTTATATTATATCAGTGTCGAACATTGCTGCTCATTCCAGTAAGTCCATAGCACAAAACAGATGAAAAGGAAAATCCCACCATAAACAATACAGCCCATTTTGAGCAAGACGTATAACTATAATTTCCATAAATCTGTACTGCTCTGTGGTACAACAAGCAGGGTACAGCACAATTAACCAACTAAGAACAGGCATATTTCGTCCAGCAACATAAAAGTGCTTTAGAATAGATAATCTGTTTTTTTTTCTT